CTTTTATAACCAAACAAAACTCACAAGTCATAATAAAGTCTCACAACCAAACAGTACAATCCAAACCAAAACCCCTCCTACTTTTTTTACCCGTTCCTCTTCCTTCCCACCCTTCTGGTCCAGTCAACCTTCTCATTTGTTTTCTTCTCCTCATCACGAGAAAATATAATACTACCAGTTTTTAGTTGTCCCACACTGACATTTCCTCCCACCGTGGGACCCACCACCCCCAAGTATAGAAAAACTTATTTATATAATCAGTCATCCCAATAGAAATCTTCAAACCCATCTCAGCCGTCCGATCAAATATCCCACTTTGACTCTCCATCCCTTTATATCTTCCCACACCCCCACCACCATACAACCCCCAAAACCCCTTCTTCCTCAACACAAAAACAACTCCTCCTCTTCTCAAATCTTCCATGGCCATTTGAGCTCCGCTTGAGCTCTTAACCTCGTCTGCGTTTCTTACATTTCAAAAATGGCGGTGGAGCTGATGAAATTTCCGAAGATGGAAGATCGGAAGGCTATACAGGAAGCTGCATCGCAAGGCTTGGAGAGCATGGAGCAGCTGATCCGCTTTCTATCGCACCAGCAGCAAACTAACCAGTCTTCTCGCTTGGACTGTACGGACATCACCGACCACACCGTCTCCAAGTTCAAAAAGGTCATTTCGCTCCTGAACCGGACCGGCCACGCCCGGTTCAGACGCGGACCTGTTCAACCCGATCAACCGGTTCAGTTCCCCTCTTCTTCTTCTCATCCCTCGTATTCACAAACGTTGAGCTTGGCTCCGGCTCTGTATCCGAGGCCCTCTCCGGCGCCCGCTCCGGTCACTACACCAGCGATCGTCCCGCCGGCGCCGATCGAGTCGAGCTATGTCCAATCTCAGCCGCACGGCATGACGCTAGACTTCACGAGGCCTAATGTCTTCGCATCAAATCCTAAGAGCACGGAGATCGAGTTCGCGAAGGAGAGCTTCAGCGTCTCGTCGAGCTCGTCGTTCATGTCGTCGGCGATCACCGGAGACGGCAGCGTTTCGAACGGCAAACAAGGATCGTCGATCTTCCTGGCACCCGCGCCGGCCGTCTCCGGCGCAAAGCCTCCGCTGTCAACGGCGCCGTTTAAGAAGAGGTGCCACGAGCACGACCACCACTCCGACGACGCGTCGTGCAAGTACTCCGGCTCGGGTTCTGCTTCTGGCTCCGGCAAGTGCCATTGCTCCAAGAGAAGGTATGCGTGCTTCCCCGTCTGCGCATTTTAGTCTCTGCTGTTAATTGTTAAGCTAAAATACGCATGGACGGTTACTGAGACGATAGAGTTGGTTTTTCCAAAGATTTTCAAATGAAATTTTAGTTGATTATCCTGGGAAGCGAGTTGACTCGGACGATTTCAACTCGGCTATAATCTGGTGGATCCATCCGAGTTTCGGGTCAACTAGTTAGGTTGCTGGGCCATTAATGGGCGCAGCACTTGTGGACGCTGACATGATAAGATGCGCCTTTTTCCAAATGGCGCATCTTAGCGAAATATTTTTTTTGTCTTTTTTCGCGCGCGAGGGAAAAAGACTTGGTTATTTAAGTTTAACCGACGACCTTTTTCTTTTTAAGAAAATAAATTAATTGTTTTTTTCTTTCTATAATTCAGGAAAAATCGGGTGAAGAAAACCATTCGGGTCCCAGCAATTAGTTCAAAAATCGCCGATATTCCACCGGACGAGTACTCGTGGAGGAAGTACGGTCAAAAGCCGATCAAGGGCTCACCCTACCCAAGGTATTGAATTTAAATCTGGGCCCTTCATATACAAAGGAACAAAATAATCAGAATTTAGCATGATCAGACGGTCTGGATTGAGTCTTATATTTTGGACAATTGTTTTTCGTTATCAGGGGATATTACAAGTGCAGTACGGTTAGGGGGTGCCCAGCAAGGAAACACGTGGAGCGTGCCCCGGATGATCCGGCGATGCTGATCGTAACGTACGAAGGGGAACACCGTCATGCGCCGGAGAACGTGGGGTCGGTGTTCGAGTCAACGTGAGGGAAAATGGGTGGAAAGAGAAGGAATGTGGATGTGGGTTTGATGTAAATTTTTATTTTTTTAGTTGAATTGATTAATAGGATAATGGGGGGAATAGAGAGGCAGAATCCTCAAATCTGTCAAAGCGGTGTTTAGCTTAATGAATTAAATTGTACTTATTTTAAAATTATTCAATTTTTATTGCATTTGGTGGGGGGAATATTTATTTAAATTGGTTTTGGGAAGATTTATCTCCGTCTGCCACACACTTGAATTTATGATTGTTTATAAGTTAAAGAGAGCATCCGAAGATGACAAAAAAAGTCAAAAAAATAGATTCGAAATTGTGGAGACTTAGAGATAAAGATGAGGAGGAGGAGGGAGTCAAATTCAGTTGGCGTTGATTTAATTTTGTTGATTAAGTTGGAAGCTATGTATTTGTATTAAAAGTCAAAAGCTCCCCTACCTTCCAATGAATTTTAAAAACGTGGTGGTGGAAGGGCGCTAAGACAGCAACGACTTAAACCCATCACAAGAATTAGAGGAGAAATTTATGGTGGTAGGTATCTCTAGTCTTTCTATGGCGAATGATCTTGTAGTTAGAAACCCTAGCATCATGCCTCCTCCATATGAGATGGGGATGGGTACCTAGCTTTTTTGAGGTCAAGTTTAATTTCATTTGGCATAGCTTCTTGAACTCTATGTGATGGGTCGTGTCAAGGGAGGAGTGGGCTCTAGAATTTGAATAAAATACTAGGCTTATCTATTTTTTCAATTATCAAATACTCACTAAATAATGAGAGTTCAGGGAGGCTATAATGATGTATAAAAGTGAGGCTTTATAATGAGGGGTTCCTTAATCTAGTGCATAATTACTATTGGGCTATTGGATTAAACCCTTATTATAACCCCTCATTATAGAAGCTTCTAAGAGCATCTCCAAGGGAGATGTCAAATACCAAACATCAAATTTAAATTTGATGGCTGATGTGGCAATTTGACATCTTACACAGCTTTACACTCCACCCGATATGTCAAATTAAATTATTATTTTATTACATTTTAGTGTTGATTTATTTTTAATTAAAAAGAATAGAAAAGAAAAAATAATAAAATATTCATTTGACATCTTGCTTTTGGGATGTCAAAAATATCTCAATTTTCAGCCTTCATTCCATATCAGCTTTGACACATCGGTTGGAGTGTGTGAGATGTTATTTCTAGCTGTTAAATATCTATGTGGCACTTTTGACATATCGGTTGGAGATGCTCTAAGAGAGTTACAGTGCATTTGGATGAGAGAAATCAACTTGGAATTTTGACACAAGTCATAAAATCTAAAAAAACCAATTCTCGTGTTTGGATTAAAAAAAAACATAGAAAATTAAAACATGGAATTTGAAGGTCATAAATCCCAACTTTAAATTCTATCTAAAAGTCGTTATTTCTAAAATTCTAAGAGATATTTAGTTTTTAAAAAAGATAACTTTACAAATAAAGGTTAAATTCCGCACTTTAAATACATTACCCAAACAAGAAACCTTACAAATTTTAGAACATCAATTTTCGTCATTCATGAATTTCTTTGTACTTTTAAATTTCTTCATATAAATGCACTGTTAGTGTCTTTTTTGTGTGTGTTTGTGTGGGGGGTTGAATTGGAAATAATGGGCTTAAGAATAGCTTGAAACTAGTTAATGAAGCTGGGTCACGCTCATGCTGCTAGACCACAGCACTAACACAAAGTGGACGAAGATTAAGAAAGCTTACTATATTGTCTGTTTGGTCAAATGGGCATATCTTGGAATTTGGGCTTAATCTGAATACTAACAAGTAACAACCTCATTTTATTCTTCACATAATGTGGAAGTAGGGCCAGCCAGATGCTTTTTTATGTTAATTTCTCATGGATGAGGTAATTGGTTAGGATTACGATAGGTCAAAGATTTGATTAGATTCTCTTCAGTGCAACAGAAGAAGAAATAATGATAAATACATGTTAGCATGAGAAAATAGTCCAGGAAATGAAACCACAAAATCATCATAAGACCAAGACCCAAAAATTAGGACCAGGTCTTTGCATTTGACAAGGACGTCTCTGGAAGTTTCCGTGTGGGCAGAAGCAGAAGAGAAGGAGGATTGAAGGTTTACTTAACACACCAATGAGGGTTGGTCAGAGTTGAAGGGGCTCTGGTCGCTTAAGCAAGTGGTCTAGGGTTCGAGCCCTTGTGGATGTAGAAAACTTTCTTGGAAGAGGTCCCCGCATATGCACCTGACAGTACTTCGGAGGATTAGGCCTGGGCCATGCCTGGGGATACCTTGGGAAAACAAAAAAGGTTTACTTAACACTGTTATATTGGGGTTAAGTTATAGAACATGCGTCAAGCCTAATTAATCAATGCAATGCAATCAAGCCTAATTAATCAATTTCACCGTGAATTAAGGCAGGCTTATGCTTAAAAAGTCAAATTACGTGGACCTGAAAAGTGAAGGCTATGCCTTAAATGTTCTTCCTAGTAACTACTAACTACACAACCAAGAACCATCATGCTGTCAAAAAGTAAAAACAGTCTTAGGCAGCAAGTGGACCATTGACTTTAAACGTCCTATAATTTAGCTTTCCATGATCTCTCAAATTGAACAAAACTTAATTTCACTGGCTTTACAGTGGAGAAGGTGGCTTAACAAGAATCGATCATCCCCAATTTCCAATTCGACGGCATACTCATTCTCCATCCTCGACACATAACTGGAGGTAATTCCTCATAATATATTTTGTAACACGTATTAATTATATTTTAACTAGACATACAATACACGTCACGATTTAGAGAAAACTTAAATTCAAGTTTTTTTGTGACTAATTGATCCCCCAGACCAGAATGAAGGTTTTGGTTGTGAGATTATTGATCATAGTATGCACACTTCTCAATGCATTCGTCTGCTGCTGGAGCTTTATGCATTCGGACCGTTCCGTATCCATGGAGTCCCACAGGTTGGGACTATTGGAAGGAAATGAGAGGGATAGGGTTTCATTGCTGGCCGTCAAAGCTCAAATAAAGGAAGACCCTCATAATGTCTTGAGTTCATGGAATGATTCCATCCACTTTTGCATGTGGCATGGCGTTACCTGCAGCAAAAGGCATCATCAAAGGGTCACTGTGCTCAACTTTGAGTCCCAAAACTTGGTGGGCTCCATATCCCCACACATTGGAAACCTAAGCTTCCTAAGGGAACTTCGCCTCCATCACAATAGCTTTGGCCAACAAATCCCTGCTGAAATTGGGCGTTTGCGTAGGCTGCAGGTAATATTACTACTCAACAACTCACTCAGTGGCCCTATCCCTACCAACGTTTCCAATTGCTTCAATCTCAACTATATTCATATTGGTTACAACAGCTTAGTGGGTAAAATTCCTTCACAGCTGGGCTCCTTGTCCAAGCTTCAAATATTTGTTTTAGAGTGTAATAATTTAACAGGAGAGATCCCTCCTTCCTTGGGAAACCTTTCATCTCTTGAGAGGTTTGGTGCATATAACAATAGCTTGTTGGGAAGCATACCTAGTTCTTTAGGCAGATTGAAACATTTAAAATCTTTGGTATTGGATTTGAATCGATTGTCTGGCACCATCCCTCCCTCCATCTTTAACCTCTCCGCTCTTGCTACTTTTTCTGTCTCAATAAACCAAATTCAAGGGAGTCTTCCCTCAGACTTGGGAATAACACTTCCTAATCTCCAAAACTTTCACTGTTTTTCGAACCAATTTACCGGACCAATTCCTCTGTCAATATCCAATGCCACAAATCTGGCCAGATTTATTGTTGCAGAGAACAAATTATCTGGGCAAGTGCCGAGTTTGCGAAACCTTCATAAGCTTCAACACTTCAGTATTAACGAAAATTATCTTGGAAGTGGTACTTATGGTGACTTGAGCTTCATCTCAGACTTGACCAATGCCACAAAGTTAGGGGAGTTGTTTTCAGGCCTTAACAATTTTGGTGGCACTCTGCCCCCATCAATATCCAATCTCACAACAGAGCTTACAATGCTGGGGGTCCAAGCAAACCAACTACATGGAGACATCCCAGTTGGGATTGGGAACCTGATCAACTTGGAATCATTGAGTTTGAGAAATAATCACTTCACAGGTAGCATCCCCAGGGACATTGGAAAGTTATCAAGTCTAGTGCTGTTGCGTCTTGGACACAATGAATTATCAGGGAGCATCCCATCCTCTCTAGGAAATTTAACCATGCTAATCGCTCTCCAATTGCAAGCAAACAACCTTCATGGCAACATCCCTTCAAGCCTAGGGCAATGCCTCAGGCTGCTGAGATTGAATCTTTCCCAAAATAACCTCGACGGTGCAATACCTCGCCAAATTTTTGGCCTCCCCTCCTTGTCCATTTCTCTAGACTTGTCCAGAAACCACTTGACTGGTTCCCTTCCTGTGGAGATTGGAAAGCTAAAGAGCCTAGGTGTACTGGATGTTTCTGATAACATGCTATATGGAGAGCTTCCCAGTAGCCTTGGTAGTTGTTTGGGTTTAGAAGTCCTACACTTGCAGGGCAACTTCTTCAATGGGATAGTTCCTTCATCTATGGCTTCATTGAGAGGGATTCAAGATTTAGACCTTTCTCGCAACAATTTTTCTGGCGAAATTCCAAGGTTTTTAGAGGGCTTTGACTTCTTGAAGAATATGAACTTATCTTTCAATGAACTTTGGGGAGCAGTTCCAACTGAAGGTGTTTTTAAAAATGCTAGTGCAACTTCTGTTGTTGGAAACATCGGGCTCTGCGGCGGTGTTGCTAGTCTCCGGCTGCCCAACTGCAGCTCCAAAGAGTCCAAGGGAAGAAGAAGACTGTCACCTAGATTGAAATTAATAATTTCCGTAGTCTCTGCCTTTCTTGGAATAGCTCTGGTTTTTGTCCCTTTATATCTCTGCTTGCTAAGAAAGAAAGGGAAAAAAACTGCATCATCAAGTGCCAACTTGGCAAACTCTATGCTGCAAGTGTCATATACTACTCTTCTAAAAGCTACTGATGGGTTCTCTTCAGATAATTTGATTGGTTCTGGTAGCTTTGGATCTGTGTACAAAGGAGTTCTTGATAATCCTGATAGGTCACCTCAACTTGTTGCCATTAAAGTTTTTAACCTGTCACGCCAAGGAGCTTCTAAGAGCTTCCTAGCTGAATGTGAGGCGCTAAGAAATATCAGGCATCGAAATCTTGTCAAGATTATAACTGCGTGTTCAAGTGTTGATTTTCGCGGTAATGATTTCAAGGCTCTTGTTTACGAGTTCAAGGAAAACGGAAGCTTAGAGGAGTGGCTGCATCCAACTTCACCCAAGAATTTGAGTCTTGTTCAGAGGCTGGACATTGCCATGGATGTTGCTTGTGCTCTGGATTATCTTCATAATCATTGCGAGACACAAATAGTTCATTGTGACCTCAAGCCAAGCAATGTTCTTTTGGACAAGGAATTGACTGGCCATGTTTCTGACTTTGGACTAGCAAAATTTCTCTCGAAACTAACCAGCAATGTGTCAGAAAATCATCAAACAAGTTCCATTGGGGTAAGAGGATCAGTTGGCTATGCAGCTCCAGGTAAATACTCTATCATCCCTTATTGTTCACAATTTCTATTTTTTACTCTCAAACAATTCGAAGACAGCTATGTATTTATCTACAATTTTTGATGTTTGAATTGTAGAGTATGGCATGGGAAGTGAGGTGTCAACTTATGGGGATGCCTATAGCTTTGGCATTCTCTTGTTAGAGATGTTCACAGGGAAGAGACCTACCGACGACATGTTTAGTGGCGGCTTGAACCTTCATAATTTCGCGAAGATGGCTTTCCTAGATCGGCGAGTTACAGAGGTTGCTGATTCACTGCTTCTTCAAGAAGGTACCAGTGACAGCATCGTGATACCTCGAAAAATCGAAGAATGCTTGAGTTCGATATTCGGAATTGGGATTGCGTGTTCTGCTGAATCCCCAGCAGACCGAAAGGATATCGGTGATGTTGCATCTGAGTTGCACTCCGTTAGGAACAAGCTTCTTGTGTAGAAGCTTTTGCTACTCTATTTTTATTTTCCAGTTTTTATGTGCTACATGCGTGTTCTTGATGCTGCTATAGTGCATGAGGAAATTTGCAAGTAAATAATCAGCAATGAGATGTGGAGTGCAATGGAGTGGGAGCCATTCTGGGGTCATATGTTGAAGCCATTGGAGTTGATCATGTTGGTCCCAATTACTTTTGGTGTTTTTGGTAATGTAGTTGGGTGGGTGGGTGTCCATAGAAGATTTCACTTGTAGATTCGAACAAGGGTGTCTAGAGAAAGTAGGTCGTGAGGTAGGGCCAGAATATTCCCCGTCAAAGCTTGTGAGGTGTTTTTCAAAATGAAAGTGATTCTCGACTGTGGTCACTGACTCACTGGTGGAGAGTTTGTTGCCTGCCTGCTATTCATGGGGTCAAGCTACTGAGAGGATTTCTCTCTGTCACATCAATTGTTTATTTTTAATATACTTTTACCATCTTTCTACCATCTTCTATACTATGCTATAAATTATTTAGCTGGTTTGACAATGAGACAGTGCAATCATAATTAGTAGGCCAGCTAACAGATCTCCAAATTCATAACCAAGTTGGCAATTTCCAAACCATCCCTCCTTTATTTGACCTGCTAGGTAGTTTATTTCCATGTGCTACATATTATTTTAATTGAGAAGACGACGTTTATAGTTGAGAAGTCCGAGTTACATGTATCACTTTTACTGATCATATTTTTGACAAAATTGATTACATACGAGTCACTACATCGTATATCCTACATGAATTACTTCATTGTAACAGATATAATCAACAAATCTGATATGATCATATAGGTATTATTTTCTTGACAAGAATATTGAACAGTTTATTTTTCTGTATTTACTGGACACACACACCCAAAAAAAAAAGTTAATAAAAAAGTAGAATATTCTCTCTCAATTATTAATTTATTATTTATACCATCTACTCTACTTTGCACTGGTAGAGTTAAAAAGTAACCATTGATTGAAAGTTGTTGAAGAGGATCATTTGAAAGTTTCAAAGAATGTGATCTCCATGAAAAAAGAGAAGACTTGTAGTCATAGTTTTGGAAAGTCAGGACAAATTTCCCAATTTCCAACTTCTCTTGCCCAAACCCACCCATGTAAAACAAACTTATTTTTTTAATTACATCAATTTAAAACTTTATTTTTTTATATTTCTTTTCAGTGACATGACAGCCTCTTTCATAATTTCATTTCATCCTTCCCTACCCATATAGCCAACCCTCATAATTAAATAAAAAATTAATGATTTCTTTTGTTTTGGTGAAAAAAATTAATGATTTCTTAAATCATGTAGAATTTAGCTTTTGAATGAGTTGATGCAGTCAGATTCTACTTGTGTGCGAAGTGAGTTTTCAAACTTAACGGAGTGGAGAAGAAGAGGAGGAGGCTGAGAAGGAAAGGTAAAGAAAAGTCATAAAAAGCAAAGCAAAGCAAACAAAACAAAACAAAACAAAAATAGAGTTTTGGCTGGCAGCAGGAGAAAATAAGAGAGAGAATCAGAGAGAGAGAGAGAGGCTAAAACGAGTTTAGAACAAAGCAAGAGAGAAGGGTTTGCGGTTTTGCCTTACTGTCATGCACTTTGGCACCACTCTCGTCGGACATTGCGAAAAATAGAACTCTGCAAAAGTGCGCTCTATCTTCCCATCACTCTCACATTACTTTCGCGATTAGGGTTTCTCTCTCTCCTTCTTCCTTTTCTCCCTGTGTGTGAATCTCTGAATACCGGGTTTAGAATCTGATTCAACTCGGCCGGGTGAACTGGATCTCTCTTTTGCTTCAAGTGAGTCCTTCTTATTCATTTCTTGTATTTCTTAACTCTCAAGAAAATCTGGGTTGCTTTCCTTTGGTTTGCTTGTTGTGGGTTGAGTGAGATTTTATGCTGTTTCTTAGCGTGTTGGTTTTGTTTTGTGAGGACCCAGATGAGGTTTTGTGCTTGTACTTGTGTCCTGATTGATTTTCGATGATTTCTAGAGAGATGAAGAAAATTTCACTTCAGAAAAGGAATATAAGAAAAGCCCAAGTTTGAATTTTTTGTATTTAGCTGCTTAAAGTTGCTCCTTTTTTTTTGCTCCCAATTTGAGTGAGATTTGGAGTTTCAAAGATTTTGATTTTGGGGTTTTGTTTGTTTTTAATTAGGATTTGAATGGCGAATTCGGTGAATGATAAGAGCATTGAGAGTTTGATATCTGCAAGCAAGTCATTGAGGCTAAGTTTACAGAAATCACAGGGCCTGGGGTCGGCTCTAGAGAAAGCAGGAAACAGATTTGAAGAGATTAACCAGAGATTACCCTCTCTTGAAGCTGCGGTTCGACCCATTCGTGCAGACAAGGAAGCCCTCGCCGCTGTTGGCGGCCATATCAACCGTGCTGTAGGCCCTGCTGCAGCTGTGCTTAAAGTTTTTGATGCTGTTCATGGACTCGAGAAATCGCTATTATCAGATCCGCGTAGTGATCTTCCAGGGTACCTATCGGTTTTGAAACGCCTGGAAGAGGCTCTGAGGTTTCTGGGTGACAATTGTGGATTGGCGATTCAGTGGTTGGAGGATATAGTAGAGTACTTGGAGGATAATGCGGTTGCGGATGATAGGTACCTTTCAAATCTGAAGAAATCATTGAAAGGTCTCCGAGAATTGCAAGATGGTGAGGGAAAGGCCAACCTCGATGGCGGGCTTTTGGAGGCTGCGTTGGAAAAATTAGAAAATGAGTTCCGAAGACTCCTCATGGAACACAGTGTGCCACTTCCAATGTCGTCATCATCTTCACTTGGAGAACAAGCTTGCATTGCTCCATCACCCTTACCTGTTCTGGTAATCCAGAAGTTGCAAGCTATTATTGGAAGATCGATTGCTAACAATAGACTTGAGAAGTGTATATCTATTTACGTTGAAGTTCGAAGTTCAAATGTGAGGGCAAGTTTACAAGCTCTCAATTTGGATTACCTTGAGATATCAATTGCAGAGTTTAATGATGTCCAAAGCATAGAGGGCTATATAGCACAGTGGGGAAAGCATTTGGAGTTTGCAGTGAAACATTTGTTTGAGGCGGAGTACAAGCTGTGCAATGATGTTTTTGAGAGGATTGGATTGGATGTGTGGATGGGTTGCTTTGCAAAGATAGCTGCTCAGGCTGGTATTCTTGCATTTCTACAATTTGGGAAAACTGTTACAGAGAGCAAAAAAGATCCGATAAAGCTTTTGAAGTTGTTGGATATTTTCGCGTCTTTGAACAAATTGAGACTGGACTTCAACCGGCTTTTTGGTGGAGCAGCATGTATTGAAATCCAAAACCTGACAAGGGATCTCATTAAGAGTGTAATTGATGGAGCCGCTGAAATTTTCTGGGAGCTTCTTCTTCAGGTGCAGTTACAAAGGCAGAACCCGCCTCCTCCAGATGGGAGTGTTCCGAAATTGGTTAGCTTCATTACTGATTATTGTAATAAACTGCTTGGGGATGATTATAAGCCACTATTAACTCAGGTTCTGATCATTGACCGAAGTTGGAAGCATGAGAAGTTTCAAGAAAAGCTCCTTATTAACGAGGTTTTGGAAATTATTAAAGCCATTGAGATAAATTTGGAGACATGGATAAAGGCTTATGAGGATGCCTCCTTGTCCAACCTTTTTGCAATGAACAATCATTGGCATTTGTACAGGCACCTGAAGGGAACTAAGTTGGGGGTTCTGCTGGGGGATGCCTGGTTAAAAGAACATGAACAGTACAAGGACTATTATGCCGCAGTGTTTTTGAGAGATAGCTGGGGGAAGCTTCCTGGTCATTTAAGTAGGGAGGGTCTGATTCTGTTCTCAGGTGGTCGTGCCACCGCCCGTGATCTTGTCAAAAAGAGGCTAAAAACCTTCAATGAAGCCTTTGATGACATGTATAAGAAGCAATCAAATTGGATAGTGTCAGATAAAGATCTAAGAGAGAAGACATGCCACCTCATAGTGCAGGCGGTTGTGCCTGTTTACAGAAGCTACATGCAGAACTATGGGCCCTTGGTTGAGCAAGATGCAAGTTCAAGCAAGTATGCGAAGTATTCAGTACAGACTTTGGAGAAAATGCTCTTGTCTCTCTTTCAGCCAAAGCCTGTTAGATACGGCAGTTTCAAAGGTAGGCAAACTAGTGGGAAATTTAACAATGGAGTAACAGATCTTCGCCGTACTACCTCTGCGGTTGTGTGATTGTCAAACTATGCGCGTTGTGGAATCACAGGACAGGACTATCATGGTTAGCCTTCCACCTTGTACATACTGACGTTCTCAGGGTCCTGGAGCTAAATACTGCTATCCCATTGCCTGAGATTCTAAGATATGGAATTATTGTAACTTATCTGAATGTGATGAAGAGTTGAACACTGTCTCCACTGCCCAGTGGGTTCTAAGTCATGATGATGAACAAATATACAACCCCGTTGGATCCCCGCGTAGATAATATATTCAGGTATAGCTATCCGTTTTTCTTTCATCTCAGACTCATTAAATCAGTAATTAGGTTAGGCAGCAGGACAAACCTAAATATACCTTTGCTAGGTTCAATGTACAATTCTTTGATTTAAAGTGCATCGAAGTGGTCTAGTTGTGATTGATTTTGTTACTTATCAGAACATGGGAAAGCTTAAAATTTAGGGACCTTCATGAGATGCTTGTTTTGTGCTATGAAATGGCATTGTTGAGAACTTAAAAATGTACTACAGCCATGTGCTATTGAAATTCTGTTGACAATAAAGTATCTACTCGTTTTAATGGCATTGTTTACTTTAGCTTTTAGTATTTTGTTGCTGGTGATTCTCCTTTTGTTTCTCTTTTCTGCTTTTCCTCGGTGTATGTGTTTATCCTTGTTAGACTTGCTTGGTAAGACATGAATTGGTACGTTATTCCTTTCTCAAAAAGCCTGTTTTCCCTTTTTGATAAGAAATGATTCCAATTGATCAAAACCTTCTGGGCCGGCTATGTTGTAACAGTTTGGGTTCAATTCTGTTCCAAAGAGAAAAAGAAAAAGAAACCTATTTGTTGTTTGGGTCAATAATTAAAAATAGGAATACTGAAATGTTCATAGAACAAACATTATAAAATATTTCCCATCTAAAAACCCGAACAGTTTTTTTTCTCTTTTCTGCACAGCAGTTTCTTATCTACCAAACGGAGCCAAACCAAAATTGTACATGATAAGTGTTAATGGATTACGAAGCCAGCCAAAGGGCTTTCAAAAGTGCTAAATTATAATTCTAGCAATGGAGACTTTTGAGTAACTTCTATTCATGACCAAGGGGTGGTTGTCGTCTTAGTTGATGGTATTTCTATTTTTCTCTAATCTCTTGTCGACATGACTAATCGCTAGAGACTTTTGAGTAACTTGTATTCATGACCAAGGGGTGGTTGTCGTCTTAGTTGATGGTATTTTCTCTAATCTCTTGTCAACATGACTAATCACCGAAGCTTCGCTCGACAAGAAAAGGAAGGTAAATTATTAACTATATGCTAATCCGATATTAGTGATGTTTCTTTCTTTAGAATCAATCCAAGTCTCCCCTAAAATCAGATTTAATCAAATTCAGAAAGTTGCAGCGTGGATGCTTAAGCAATTTCTCTTTTAAGTATAAACTATTATTATCACCACATAGACAAAGCTCCTACTAAGTCTTGTCCTCCTACCAAAATCTTCTAAATTTATCTCCATATATTTTTGTGATGAACACGACAAATTTATATAGTTGTTGTTTTCTTCCACTTTTCCCTAACGTGACACCAAGATTGCTACCAGGGACCAGTTTGCAGGCACATTGCATTCAAATCATGACCAGTCAATGTCAACCATGAGAGGCATGCATTTGGATATTTTTGAGAAAATTTGTCATGAAAACATGCCCCTTAATCCATAAAATCTTGAAAGAAAAAAAAGAAGCATGAAAATGCTGCTTAATTTACCACCAACATCTGCATTTGACTTTATAGGTAGGCGTGTGTTAAATCGATAAGGATGATTTTTTTACGCGGGTGAAATTATTGAGCTATTGACGAGTCTAAGTCGTTGATGCATGATGTTTCATTATATGCCACACATCCACAACAGAAGACAACTCGAAAACTATCATCATTTCTCTTTTCCTTTGTCCAAGTTAGGTTGCATCATCAACGGCTGAAGATGAAAGAAAATTCATGATTATGATGATGAGGATTGAGGACCGCCACATAAACGATAAGAGTTGCCATGGAATTGAATGATATGATAATGAAACATTCCGTTGAATTATTATTGATGCATGCATTCTTGAATCCCTTTTTGTTCCTTACTTTGGAGGAGATGGGTGAGAATTGAGACAAGACATCTTTGTGCTGTGTTTCACTTCATTGGGTCATGCTTCATTTCAACAATATTCATTAGTTTTGCTTCTTCTTCTTCTTTTTATAAAGATAAATCTTTTATAATATTTCAAATTATAAATATCTATAAATAAAAAGGTACTAATAATATGGATTTTTTCTTTTTCAAGTTAGTAAAAGGACCTTGATTTGCAAACCATAAGTCTTAGGTTCAAATCCGCACGACATCATAGTTATGTGTGTGAATGAAATCCTCCTTCCCTGTAGTTTAAATTAAAGCTTGTACTTTTTTTTATAAAATAAAAAACAAGAACCATTATAAATTGTGCTTTGACTCACTTTGAATTTTGAATGGTTCCTAAGATGTTAACCTACCTGAGATGTGAACCATAGTTTTAATGGTATGCTTATGCTCTAGCTGTAACCTTTAAGCTACAATTTTTATAAATACCATTTGAATTAGAACTCATGATTTTTATTTTTTTTTAATTAAAGAAAACTACAACAATTGGATGATGGGTTTTTCTCTAACACCAAAAGTCATGCTTTTGGGATCTTTCAAGGGATTTATACAATGCAATGGATATGCCCCCTCTCTTGAATTTTAAATTGCCTTGACCCTCCTCTAATGACTATTATATTTTAATTAACCATGATCATTTTAATTAACTAAACTAGTTTATCTAAATAGATAAGGTAGGTTTGCAGATGGCTAAGTAGAATATCTAAATTGGTTGCTCTCCTCACCTTGACCTTGTACCCTCCAATCAAATAATTGTGAATTGTATTAATTTTTTTTTCCTTCAATTTGTAGACTTGTTTATCAAGCCTAGGTAGAATATCTGTCTGCCAATAAGGCAAAGTCCACCTTAATCAACCAACTTCTTTATTTGCATTTCTTGTCAAAGTTGTGTTAATGGTTTCTCTGTCCAATTCCTCAGAGCTTAAACAAATAAAAGAAATCTTATATGCTTTTGAAAAAAATCCGGATCTCTCTCTCTCTCTCTCTCCTTGTAAATATAATATGTAACTGTTAACTCAGCAATAAAATAATTAGCTTTCCAAATTTCGCAACTGGATCTGTATAGCAACATGCTATATATTATTTTATTTTAACTTTGCATGGCTGGTCTAAAATAATTTGTAATTTTTTTTGTCACAATCCTTTGATAGTATTGCAAATGTTGTGTCATTTTAGATGTAACCAACAAGTCATTATTTGAATCCGTCGTAGGATTAGTATGAATTTAATTTCAATTCAACCATCGTGCGACGAATAGTAAATAAAAGCATGATTTAGATCGATTTAGGCCTCAAATATTCGGACCCTACTGGTTTATGGGTATGGCCCCTCCACCTTTTTATTAATTTTTTTTCCCCTCAATCAATTTTACATGGCCAATAGTTACTTAGCACGAAATGGGTTTGTGTGTGCTTGATTGGTTCATAAAAAAATTGATAAGATTTGAATGAAATGATGATGTTGTCGATACACTATCTATATCTATACAGATATCATACCAACACTTCACGCTATCCACAACTAAGATATGTACATATAAGTCGTGTTCATTATTGAAGTGAATTAGGATAATTTGTAAATCCAATCCCATTGGGTTTTCAACTTTGCATAACTTTGCTTTAGATATTCCCTTTTGGCATTATTAAAAGCTAATCCAAAACCTAACCAATGTGTGGTGGTCTTCTCTCAACGTACTAGTGTTGAGTGGCAACTCGGTCGAGTTCATCCATTATTGGAAATTCATTTTGACATATTGATACTGTTAAATTTTAGAGAGATAGACTAACAGTCTGCTATTAGCCACACTGATAATGTCTCTAACTTAATCACCTACAAAGCCCAATAAGTGTGAAGTTTTATATAAAAGGCCTCGATGTTATTAGTAATGGAACCATTAATTATATGGCGTAATTTATATGATCAAGTTTTTGATGTTGGACTTATATATTCTTCAACATTTATGACTTGTGAGGTCCATCCATGGCAAGATATCAATCGAGGTCATTGGCATATTTAAATCTTTTCTTAGTTTTGTTGGCTCGTTGGTTCATTATCTAACAATTTAAGTTTTTAGGATGATTATCTAACATGATATTGGCTAGGAGGTCACGGGTTTCAAACTTCAAACCTTTTACGTTGCGCATATGTCTATCTTTGTGGGTGCACGGTGGGCTACACATGATGGGGAGTGTTAGCTTTTTTCTTGTTTTTTTTTGTTTCTCTTGGAAAGAAAGCGATGCATTTAACCAAATAAAAACATTACATAAGATCTTTAAAGAGTGCATCTTGGATGATACTGGGAGAATCCCCTCACAACTTAAGCTTATGGGGACCATAATGGTAGTCTAACAAGTTTCACCTCATGGCTCCTTTTGGCAAGTCCTAATTTTAAGTGGTTTAGGTGATTTTCTAGGTAACTATTGCTTACTTTATCATAATTTTGTGCAAATTAACTTTGCTTATTCATATGTTAAAACATGCTTATCATTAGGGGGGCCTAGATATGTTATAAGGCCTAAATAGATGGGGTGGTCCAAATTGTATGTTTTACAAAAGGTAATTTGATGTGCAAGGTTGAGTGTTCATGGATCCAAAATATTAAGAAATATAAACTTCACTACAACGATGATGTCAAACTTGTTTTATAGTATTGTCAAGTTGGAAATAATTAAATTATAATTAATGGTGTTTAGTGGTGTTTACAAAATGCATTTTCATGCTAATCAATTCTTATTCATGCCTGCACTCCATATTAAGGGAATTAGTAAAGGTAAAAAACAAAGAAGGTAATTGGCCCTTTTATTTTATTTTGTTAATTCCTATATTTAATGCTACTCTTACCACATTTGTATACTATATTTTCATACCACCTTATGTGGCAGATGAGATGTACATCCACATCAATTAAAGAGTGTCAATAAATCATAAAAGAAAAGAAAATGTTAAATTAATTTTAATTGATGTGGTTGTTCACCTTATCTCCCACATAAGGTGGTAGAGGAATGTGGTATACAAATATGGTCAGAGTAGCATTATTCATTTTGAAAACTCGTAAAACCCTTTGACAATTTTTGCGAGACAAGACATATAACAAACAATATGTTGGACATAATTAATTTGATTGTATTTCTCTTGCAACATTCATAAATCAGTGATTTTATTGGGCAAGAAAAAAAGTAAGTAAATGTGACTAAATATTAATATAATATGATTTATTATGCATTGATTTTGATTTTGCAACAAATAAAGAATATCAATCAAAATAATTATCTCTAGAAAGATCCAGCTCCCCAAGAAGCTATATATATATATA